CCCTTCCTTTGACCAAACGCGCAAAACCTGCTGTCCTGAGTTGAACTCATTCATTGAAATCAAGGTGGAAAAGGATGAGTGAACTCCATTAGCCGGGAATGATTCTGGCTTCTCGCACTCCCCACGTCCCAGAAACTTGCTTCTGTGGTGGAGTGCCCCCTGCAGCCCAGGAAAGCAACTTGTCTCTCTGCTCAACATCCTAAACAGTCTCCAGTGGGTGCTTTCCTGGGATGGAGGAACTGATACAGAAAGGAAGAGCTCCCCACACTGTGAATGGCAAGCCAGAAGATGCTTATTCCTAAGCAGGAACAGTGCCTCAGAGGGGCTAGGGAGGAGGAAAGGAGAATCCTGGGTGTAAGAAACATGAGGCCTTCTTTACATATGCCGCTGTCTCTGAGTCTTTTTTTCCTCTGGCTGCCTGGGTTTCACTCAAAGCTCAGGAGCAGCCCTGATGGTACCTCTTGCTCACCCAAGCCTTCAGCTCTGCTCTGCAGGGGAAATCGGGACGTCCTTGAAAATACTGCCACCTGGTGGCCGGTTCAGTCACCGGCTTGATTATTGCCCGCCATAGTCACAGTTTATTACAATTTGGGAACCAGAATCTAGCTATAATAGCCATCATTTATCAAATTATATAAGGAAGATTTCACTATTACCATCTTATAGATGATGAAATTAAGGCTTAAAGGGTTTCTGCATCTACCTACCACTTTTGCCACTGAGTGACCAAGCTGACTAATCTGTAGCTATTTCCTAGTCTTGTCAGGCAAATCGTACTCCAGGGAACGTGTGTGTATGCGTGCACATGCACACATTTTAAATAGAATGGAAAGTAGAAGTGAATTTCTATCCATCCAGTCATTCCTACAGCAAATACCAATGGCTTACCAGGCATCAGCTACCTTCCTGGGTACTGTGGCTACCCTGTTGAGAGGGTTAGAGGGTGACTACAGGTTTCACTGTCTGGTCAAGAAACTAAGTAATTGTATAGGCAATGAACTGTGTGTGTGGTAAGGAGTGGGAAGCGTGCAATGGAGTGGACAGCACAGGACCACTGACCTGCAGTTACAGTCCGGAAAGGTAATCCGAAACAGATTTATTCTTTAAGAAAATCTTTTTTTTAATTGAAAAGGCAGATTTACAGAGAGAAGAGACAGATCTGCCCACTGGCTCACTCCCCAAGTGGCTGCAACATTGGAGCTAAACCAATCAAAAGCCAGGAGCCAAGAGCTTCTTCTGGGTCGCCAACGCTGGTGCAGGGTTCCAAGACTTTGGGCCGTCCTCTACTACTTTCCCAGATCACAAGTAGGGAAGCGGAGCAGTGGGACACAAACCATTGCCCATATAGGATCCTGATGCTTACAAGGTGAGGTTTAGCCACTGAGCCATCACACCAGGCCCTCTTTTTCTTCTTCTTCTTCTTCTTATTTTTTAAATTTTATCTGAAAGACAGACTTTCAAAAAGGAGAAAAAAGAAAAAAAACACCTCTCCATCCCCAAACGGCCGCAATTGCTGAAGCAGGGCCAATCCAGAGTGAGGAGCTTCTTACAGGTTTCCCATGTGGGTGCAGGTGCCCAAGGACTTGGGTCATCCTCTGCGGTGCTGTTTTCCCAGACCATAAACAGGCAGCTGGATAGGAAGTGGGGTAGCCAGGACAAGACTGGGTCCCATATGGAATGCTGGTACTTGCAGGTGGAGGATTAGCCTGTAGAACCATTGCATGAGCCTCTCTCAAAGGGAGATTCCAACTGGTACCTGAAAGGTGGAGGAGTTAGCAAGAAGGCCAGGGGCAGTAAGAGACTCAAATTTCTATATTCCCATAGCAGAGCAGCTGGAGGGATGATGTTGGGAGAAGATGCTGTCATATCTCAGAGAGCATCTCAGCCAGCGCTGGTTCAAAGATGCTTGCATTGGTTTGGAAGAGAAAAGATGGTATATATCTTAGGAGACTGGTGTGATCCATATGGGTAGCAGTTCATATCCTGGCTGCCCACTTCCCATCCAGCTCTCTGCTTGTGGCCTGGGAAAGCAGTGCCAGACAGTCCAAAGCCTGGGGATCTTGCACCTGCATGGGAAACTCAGAAGTTCCTGGCTCCTGGCTTTGGATCAGCTCAGCTCCAGTCATTGCAGCGGCTGGGGACTGAAACAGCAGAGGGAAGATCTCTCTGTCTCTCCTCTCTATCAATTTGCCCTTCCAATAAAAATAAATAAATCCCTAAAAAAAAAAATCTTTTTTAAATATGTAAAAGCCACTGGAGCCTCTTTCGGATCTCCTGTGTGGCTTCGCGGTTCCAAGGCTTGGGCTGTTCTTTACTGCTTTCCCAGGCCACAGCAGGCAGCTGGATAGGAAGTGGAACAGCCAGGACACGAACTAGCACCCATATGAATTCCCAGTGCACATAACTGGAGGATTTAGCCTTTAGGCCACCACGCCAGGCCCTCCCCTTCACTTTAGGCCCCCAACACCACAGGCTATGATTATCCAAATGGGTGCTCACTGCTGCTACCACTAACCCCGCCTGGGCTTCTCAACTCTTCCTAAGACTCACTCTCTCCGTCTCACCCTGGAGGATCAAAGCGCTGTGTGTCCTAAAGGGCTGTGTGGATGTTTTGCATGTGAGTAATTAGAAGGAAGACTGCAGCTTTCTCCTGGCCCATGAGAGAGCAGAAGAGAGGGGGAACCTCATGGCTGGTTCTAAAGAGTTGCTCACAACAGGCTCTGGGCGTACCCTGAGACCTTCCCTCCGGGACCAGTGATTCCAGCCTAATCACCAGCTCTCTTCGGGCCAGAAGACACTGTAGGACTGACCAGAGACAGGCTGATTCCCAGGAGCCCGAGGTCACACAGAGCAGTTAGGATGGGGAGGCCGAAGTGGTTTGTGCCAAATGAATTCCCTCAAAGATGAGACCCTCTTTTCTTTCCCTACTCCCAAGGCTACATCACAAAGATGATAAAAGGTGTTCAGAATTTTGAAATGAGAATATGATCTGGGCCTAGGACCATTGCTCAGTGGCTAAATCTTTGCCTTGTATGTGCTGGCTTCCCAGATAGGTGCCAGTTCGTATCTCAGCTGTTCCACTTCCCATCCAGTTCCCTGCTTATAGCCTGGGAAAGCATTAGAGAACAGCCCAAAGTCTTGGGACCCTGCATCTACGTGGGAGACCCGAAAGAAGCTCTGGCTTCAGATCAGCTCAGCTTTGGCTGTTGCAGTCACTTGCGCAATGAATCAGCAGATGGAAGATCTTTCTGTCTCTCCTTTTCTCTGTATACCTGCCTTTCCAATAAAAATAAATCTTTAAAATAAAATAATATGATCTATTTACCTATACTTTCCAGACTCCTTCACTATCTATACAAATGAGCCATTTCCTTCTCGATTCTACTTTTCCAGTCCCTTATGTCGCAGTCTGGGCTAAATCAGTTGGACTGGCTTAAAGTTATTTGAAAGCATTACACACAGAGAGAGAAAGGCCAGAAGACCTCTTGCATCTGCTGGTTCACTTACAAAATGGTAGGGCTGGAACAGGCAGAAGTCAGGAGTCAGGCATTCCCAGGTGGGTAGCAGCAGCTGGAGCACTTGCGCTACCTTCGCTGCTTCCCCGGGTGCATGAGCTAGCTCAGGAGTGGAGCAGTTGGACTCACCAGTGCCTGTGTGGGATGCTGCAGTCCCAGAAAGCTGCTTAACACACTATGCTACAATGCCCCCTACCCACTCCACCCAAGGTGTTCTGGTGCTGAATCAGCTCAGCCAGGGCTTTCTTCTCCTTATTACTGACCCTTCTACTTCTAATTTCCGGCTAAAAGTCTCATCTCCCAACACCATGGGGTGTTTGCGATGCCTCTTACCTGCCCTACCCTGAAGGCAGGGCTTAGTCCCCAAGCCTTCATACAGACACTGGATCTCCCTGCCTCTCAAGGTAGGGACACGGAACCTGCCCCCTAGCTCTCCTGCCGCTGCTTTTACACACGCGCTCAATTCTTCACCCTCCGCCTCCACCTCTCTCCAGCATCCCACAGCCCCGGGTCTAGAAAGCCAGCAGGGTCTTTTTATTACAGCTTGTCTGTGCCTCATGCCCTCCGGACAAACCCGTCGCGTCCTTTGTCTCCGGGGCATCGCACACCTCCCCTGGCCCGGGTTCTGCTACCTGTCTTCCACCTCTCTCTCTCTTACTCTTGGCTCTACCTGACCTACGCGTCGTCCCCGAATCTCTTTCTCCCTTGCTTCCTCTTTCCTTGCCTCGCCACCACCCTCCGTGCCCACCTCTGCCCAGCACTCCCACAGTGCCCACACTAGGAACAAAGTCACGCAGTTTGCGCACAACATGCCTCCCGTCGCCCCGTCCTGGGAGCGCGTCGTTCACCGTGCCCCTCCGCGCATTCCAACTGCAGACAAAGAGTCCCCCTCGGGTCCCCCACGCGCCGTCCCGTTCCCATTCCTGAGGGTCGTAACCGCCCTGACTGCCCCTTCCTTGCCCAGGCATCCCCTGCCGCCGGCTGAGTCTCCTCCTCCAGGGGTCCCCCCACACCCCTCGCCGCGGGACGCATCCGCGCTCCCTGCTTGGCCACCACCCCCTCCCCTCGCGCTGCCCCTTCGCTCTCGCGCACGCCGCGCTCCGCCCCTCCTGGAAAGTAGATCCGGCCAGGCAGACAAAAGTTTGGGAGAAGTTGGTCTGTGCCGAGCGAGCGTGAGAGCGAGGGGGCGGGGGCCCGGCGAGTGGACGCGTGAGCCCACAAACCTGCGGACCGGACGGCCGCGGCTGCGGGCCTTGGCTCTCCCGCTTCACGCCAGCTATGCGCGGAGGGTCGCTGCCCCTCCCGCCGGGGGATGCTGCAGGGTCCCAGGCGCGGGGCAGCCGGGCCGCCCCCCGCTAAGTCCCGGTGCCTACCCCGTGCCCCTGGGCAACCCGAGTCCGGCTGCAGGGACCGAGCAGCCCCTGGCCGCCGAGACGCTGCGGGGTGCCGGCCGGGGAGGGGGTCGGAGGCCCCAGACCCGAGGGCATGGAGCGGTTAGGGGAGAAAGCCAGTCGCCTACTGGAGAAGTTAAGACTGTCGGACTCCGGCAGCGCCAAGTTCGGCCGCAGAAAGGGTGAATCTAGCCGGTCTGGGGCTGAGGGGACCCCCGGGCCGGGCAAGGGGCGTCTGAGTGGGCTGGGGGCAGCTAGGAAGTCAGGGTCCCGAGGAGCTGCTGGGGGACCCGGGGATGAGCCGCTGGAGCCCGCCCGAGAGCAAGGGCCGCTGGACGCAGAGTGGAACCCGCGCGGCTCCTTTGAGACGCCGCGCTACGAAGGCTCCTTCCCCGGGGGACCGCCGCCCACTCGGGCCTTGCCTCTACCTCAGTCCTTGCCCCCCGATTTTCGGCTGGAGACCACGGCTCCGGCCCTGAGCCCCCGCTCCAGCTTCGCCAGTAGTTCAGCCAGCGACGCGAGCAAGCCGTCCAGCCCCCGGGGCAGCCTGCTGCTGGACGGCGCGGCGGCTGGCGGAGCCGGAGGAGGCAGCCGGCCCTGCAGCAACCGAACCAGCGGCATCAGCATGGGCTACGACCAGCGCCACGGGAGCCCCCTGCCCGCTGGGCCGTGCCTATTCAGTCCACCGCTGCCTGGGGCGCCGGCGGGCTATTCCCCCGGAGGGGTCCCGTCCGCCTACCCGGAGCTCCACGCCGCGCTGGACAGACTGTGCGCTCACCGGCCCGCGGGGTTCGGCTGCCAGGAAAGCCGCCACTCGTATCCCCCGGCCCTGGGCAGTCCCGGAGCACTAGCCGGGGCCGGAGTGGGAGCGGCGGGACCCTTGGAGAGACGCGGGGCGCAACCCGGACGACACTCGGTGACCGGCTATGGGGACTGCGCCGCGGGCGCCCGGTACCAGGACGAGCTGACAGCCTTGCTGCGCCTGACCGTGGGCACGGGCGGACGGGAAGCCGGCGCCCGTGGGGAGCCCTCCTGCTTGGAGCCGTCGGGTCTCGAGGAACCTCCAGGTCCGTTCGTCCCCGAAGCCACCCGGGCCCGGATGCGAGAACCGGAGGCCAGAGAGGACTACTTTGGTGAGTGAGAGAGAGAGAGTGCTTATAGGGACTTGAGGGGAGCCGGCGGGGCGTTCACGTCTCGGATTCCCCGACGGGGTCGGTCGGGCTGGACAACCGACAGGAGGGATGACCTGGGGCGGGCCCCAAAGCGCTTTGACCCCTTCGCACCGATTTTCCCAGGGACACGACCCTCGTGCCTGCTAAATTCAGAGCTCTTGATTATTTTGTGAGCCGCAGTCCCCCTCCTCCCCAGCTTCTCAGGCGTTAACGCCTTGATTTGTCGCAGTAGGCCACCTCCTAGGGAGGCATCCTAGTGCGGGTAATGAGTGCCCCCCCCCCAGCTGGCTCCCCCTGGGCGGCGGGTGTCCCTACAGGCTTCGGCGCGCCGCGCCCCCACCCCGGCGCAGGCTCCGCCCGCAGGAATTCGGGGAATGCGCGGGTGGGGGGCGGGGCGGGCGGGCCGCGTGCGTGCCGACTCCTGCCCGGGCGCTCCAGGTGCCCGCGGGCAGGGCCCGCTGCGGCTGCGGCCGCGGGGTGGGGTGCAGGGGTGGGGTGTTCGCCCTAGCCCCAGCCGCTGTCGGGGAAATGGAGCGCGCCCGGGCACGGAAGGGAGGAGAACCAGGTTGCTGCTCAGCCCAGCAGGGTTGCCAGTGGGGACGTTTACCTGCCTGATGGTGCTGGCCCTTGGTGCCCTCCCCCCCATTCCCCATACACACTCGCCTCCCGGAAGTCAGAACAAAAGTTGTGAACCCTCGGGGCAAGCTCACCCCTTGGGTGAATAGCCACCCGCGTCCACCTGGCCCTAGGGTTCTGGCTGTAACCCGCTTAGAATTCAGGCTAACCACAGCCTCTTCCTGTCCCTCCCCAGTGTGCGGAGGAAGTTTGGGTGGATTCTGCGGCTCAGCCAGAGGGGATATTGGGGTCTTTAAGGATGTTTCAGCCCAAATGCGGGCATTACTTGATTGTGTGAGGAAAGGCGAGTCTGGTGGTGGAAGTGAAGGGCTGAGCCCCCAGGGTTGGTGGCCTTCCTCCCTTCCCCAAACCTCTTTTTCACCTCTTTACCTGTGTCTCCCTGTCCCGGACCCCCCACCGCAGAGCAGAAGGGAACTGCTGGGGAGGAAGTTCTGAGGCAATAGGCTGGAAGGGGACCCCCCCATAGTTCAAGCCCAGCTTGGGGTACATGATGCTAAATCACTTTGATCAAGGGAGACCAAGTGACAGGGCCCATTTAGCAGTTTCGTTTTGAGGCCCAGGAGAGGCAGAGCTGGGACCAAAGTCTGGCTGAACCATCAGAGCCAAAGGGCAAGGAGCACAGTGAGTGCAGTAAATGGCAGGAAGAGCTGAAGTATACGTGCGTGCGCTGGCTTGGAGGAGGTGAGGCAGACATTCCTGGGACGCTCACCCCTGGCCTTTGCAGTGTCCAAATGCTGGGGGCATGGGGTACCCTGTGGCATGGCAGTTCTGGGGCTCTCTCCTCCCTACCCCCCTGGCATGAGGGTAGGGAGTCTGACCAGGGTCAGGTGTCTCCTGGCAGAGCCTGAGAGGAGAGCCCTTTTGTTCCCATCTCCTTAGCCCCTGCTAGGCGGCCCCTCGGGAGGGCCCCGTTCCCTGGCTGCAGCCTTCCCCAGCTGCCAGAGGGTGGGAGCAGGGCAGGCCTGGGCCCATCAGTTGCTGCAGCTGCTGCACAGGCTCCCAAGCCCCTGGGCAAAGCCTGGGATGGGCCCCGACAGGCAGGGAGGGTGGCAGTGTGCCGAGGGAGGGGGGAGAGGTGGGGCGGGCTCGTTGGGATCTGCTCCCCAAAGACAGGCCTGAGCCCTCACTCATGGGCCTGGAATTGGGGAGTGGAGGGGAGGAAGAACACACCCAGGAGAGGCGGCTGCTCGAGCCAGGTGCAGGCGTCTTAGACAGTGGGGGATGTTGGGATAGCGCCTTTCAGTGCTCAGCCCTGTGCCCATACCAGAAGGTGATGGGGTGGAGGGGGTGGTGTGCCATCTCGGGTCCCTGGAACACACCCCCTGGGTTCGTGGCAGCCTGGGAATCCCCTCTGCTGGGCCAGATCGCCCCTCTCTCTCTGCTTGGAAGCCTGCAGTGGAGGGTGGTCATGGTGTCCCCCCAGCAGTGAAGCAGTTAGACCCAAGAGACTCTGCCAAGTTGGCTCCCTCCCATGTGCTACTGACTGTCCCTCATCCCCTACCCCAAGTAATACCAAGCCCTCTCTGGGCATTTGTCCCTCACATTGAACCATGGACCTTGCTTGTCCAGAGCTTTCTCTGCAGCAGAAATGCGACGATTTTCCTGGATGTCAGGTGCTAGGCTAGATACAGAGATGCCTGGATCACGTCTGGTGGATGAACCAGCTAAACGAGAATGGAGCAGTCCCACCAAACTCTTGCTGCATCCCAGTCCTTGTTATCCTCTCTTCCCAGAGGCAGGAAAGGGACCTTGGAGTCCCTGGTGTGGAACTAGGGGAGCCAGAGAGGAAGCTGACAATCTCTCCTCCCCCTCCACCTTCCCCCAGGCACCTGTATCAAGTGCAACAAGGGCATCTACGGCCAGAGCAACGCCTGCCAGGCCCTGGACAGCCTCTACCACACCCAGTGCTTTGTCTGCTGCTCCTGCGGTGAGTGTGCCCGCCAGCTGCTTAGGGGAGCCCAACGAGAGCAGGTGCCCCTTGTGTACCCCCTTCTACCTGCCTCCTCCTCTGCCTGGCTTGCCCTTTCTTGCGCCTCCCCACTGCCTTGCCCAGCCTGGACTCCCGCCCTCAGGCCTCTCTGCTTGGTGGGGTTTGGGCTCGGGCAGCCTGGGTTGCCTGGGACGACAGTGAAAGATTGGAATGTGGGAAGGGCGGGAGGTGGGGGGGGGGAATGGGCTGGAGGAGTGGGGAGTGGGGTGTGTGTCGGGGGGGGGGGGTTTCTCTTGGCTGGTCAGAGTTCAGCCACCTCACTAGAGTGCAGGCCACTGGGGCCATGCCAAGCTGATGACATCACGCTCCAGGAATGCCCGCTGCTGTAGGTTCAGGAGGCCCACGGGAGGGGGTGCTCAGGGTGGCCTTAACTCCCCCCAGCCCCCTCATTCCCCTCCACACTGCTTACCCATTCTGATTCTTTCGCTAAACCTTTAATCGCCTATCTGCCTGGCTGACTCCAGCGCTCAGCGCTCCTCTGCCTCGTCCTGGCTCGCCTGTGTCTGTCTGTCCTTTTCATGGGGTCTGTGTGTCCTCCTCCTCCTCCTTTCCTGACTCCCGTGATTTTCTAAGGCAGCATTGCTGAACCCCTGGGCAGAGCTGCAAGTGGAGATTTTGATGGGAAGAAGGTACAAGGTGGGGAGCCGGCCCATTCTGCACCTCGGCCTTGCTCCTCCCCCATTCCTGGGTATTGATTGCACGGGAAATGGGCCGCCTTTGTCTGCAGACCCTGGGTCCCTCCAAGCTTGGGGAAAGCGGGTCTGGTCCAGCTGGGAAGGAAGAGCCTGGCTGCACTCCCAAACACAGCACTTTGTCCCCAGCAGTCCCCGCAGGAGCTGGACCCTGCAGACAGGGTTTGACCAGAGCAAGGCTGAAAGGCCTGAGGGCCAGGCCTGTGCGCCTGGGATTTTCGTTATGCAAATGGCACAGCACCCAGTTCAGAGAGGCCCTAACCATCTCTGGTTGGAGTCTGCAGGTGGCCTTGCTCTCCTGTTTGCTTAGTGGGGACGGTTGTAAGGGGAGGAGGGCTGGAGGTGCAGCGAGCAGAGGAGTGGGAAGTTGGTGGAAATGAGACCGGAGCAGATTGGAATTGCATCACACAGGCTGTTTGTGTGCTGGGGAGGGCAGGTGCCCCAGGGCACGTCCCAGTGCACTCCAGGCCCACTGCCTGGTCCCAGCCCCTTCTCTGGTGTTTCCAGGCCGGACTTTGCGCTGCAAGGCTTTCTACAGTGTCAACGGTTCTGTGTACTGTGAAGAAGACTACCTGGTGAGTGAGGGCCCCAGCCTTGGTTCCCACACTTGGGCCTGACCCCACTCTCAGCTCCAAACCATCCTCTTGTCGGCTTTTCTCTCTCGGTAGTTTTCCGGGTTCCAGGAGGCAGCAGAGAAGTGCTGTGTGTGTGGCCACTTGATTCTGGAGAAGGTGGGTGAAGGAGGAGTCCCAGCTGAGGCGGGGTGGGGGGGCGGGGGGGAGGGCAGGAGCTGGCGGGGAGGGAAACGAGGCCACTCCTGACCATCCCTCCCCTCCCAGAGCAGCTGCCCACTATGACACCCCTGTCCCCACGTGACAGACTGGCCTCCTGATTCTGCCCTCCCAGGCCTCTGGGAACCAGCCTTTCCTTGACTTTGCAAGTCCTACCAGGCCATCTAGCCCAAGCCAGCAGAGCAGGGTGGGAGATGGGGGAGGGTACGATTTAATCCCATTTCTTTCCCTGTTGAGCTGGCATTTTCTGTTCTGTAGAAGGGGGTATAAGGGACATTCAGTGAGTCTCAGCCTTGGCCACCTCGCTGTTCACCTGGGAAGCACTTAAAAAAATTTAAAAATAAAGCTACCTGCGACCCTTCACCAGAGACCATGATAAGGTGTCAGAGTGGGGAAAAAAAATAATTAATTAAAAAAAATTTCAGAATGGGGAGGGATGGGGGCATCCAGGCATGGTATTTTTTTGTTTGTTTTGTTTTTTTGTAAGATTTATATATTTTTATTGGAAAGGCACATTTTTACAGAGAGGTCTTCTATCCACTGGTTCACTCCCCAGTGGCTGCCAACAAGCAGAGCTGAGTTGGTCAGTAGCCAGGGCCTTTTTCTGAGTCTCCATGTAGGTCCAGGGTCCCTAGGCTTTGGGCTGTCTTCTACTGCTTTCCCAGACTATAAGCAGGGAGCTGGATGGGAAGTGACAGCAGCCAGGACATGAACCAGTGCCCAAATGGAATGCAGACAGGCACTCATAAGCAAAGGATTAGCCTGCAGTGCCACTGTACAGGCCCCATGGATTTTTTTTTTAAAGCACCTCCTTTTGGGCCTTGTGTGCGCAGGAGGGCTTTCTCAGGGTTTCTGTCTCTATGGAAAGACTCCCTGGTCTCCACAAATTACAGAGTTTTGCTCTAGGATGATGGGAGGGGCTGGCTGAGGTGGGGTAACAGGGGAGAGGGTGGGACAGGGATGGTGGCTGAGGAGCTGGCCTGACTGTTCTGCTACCCCACGAGCCAGATCCTGCAGGCCATGGGCAAGTCCTATCACCCGGGCTGCTTCCGGTGCATCGTGTGCAACAAGTGCCTGGACGGCGTCCCCTTCACAGTGGACTTCTCCAACCAGGTGTACTGCGTTACCGACTACCACAAGTGAGTCTCCCTGTGTGGGCCCCCCCCCCCCCCGGGGCTCTAGATTCCTCCCCGCACCCCAAGCACAGCTCATATCTGCCTGCTCTCTTGCAGAAACTATGCTCCAAAGTGCGCGGCCTGCGGCCAGCCCATCCTCCCCTCCGAGGTCAGTCCATCCGTCCGTCCGTCTGGGTTCTCCCGAGGGGCAGCCAGGGCCGCCACTGCAGCCTCTGGGGAGGGCCGGGGCACTTGCTCACACAGCCTCACTCGGGAAGTGCTGGCGCTAAGGAATGTTCTCGCAAGAGATTCCCGTGTGACTCTGCTCTCAGGGTCACCCGCACTGACCCTGACATCCGGGCCTGGACATGTCTGACAGCCTCCCCGGGCCCCAGGCTCCACATCTTTGATCCCAGGCCAGAGGAGATTTCCTTTGAGGGTGGGGACTTGAGAGCCCAGAGGTGGGGGTGGGGGCGCTCTGGAGAAAATGGGAAGAGTCTTCAGGGCTGGTGGGAAGGGGGGGTATGTGCAGAGGGGGAGCAAGCCTTCTGGGTGTCCTTGTCCCCTGCCTGGCCTGCTTTATCTGCACTGCCTGCTCCCCTGCCCTTCCCTCTGCTCCCCACATAGCTGGGGGAGTCCAGCAAGCCAGGGCTGGTACAGAAACAGCACTCCACACAGGACGTGCTCTGGATTTGCATCTGTTTGCACGCTACATATAACTGAGAGGCTCTGGGGGCCTTTGTGTACCCCTCCTCTTGGAAAGGAGGAGTCTATGCAGGGACAGGAGTTGGGGAAGACAGAGTTGGGGGCATCCATGTGTGCCCAGCCCCACAGGCTGCCTGTTTCAGGGCTGCGAGGACATCGTGAGGGTGATATCCATGGACCGAGATTATCACTTCGAGTGCTACCACTGTGAGGTGAGTGCAGTTCCTGACTACTGGGGGAGACTTGGCTCCTCCCCCTCTGCCCATCATCTCCCAGTCCTACGACAGCCAGCCTGCAGGAGAACGGTGTAAACCTCAGAAGACCTGGAAGGTTCCTGTTCCATTGACTAATCTTCACTCCCCTTCCTGTCCTCCAGCTCTTCTCCATGGTCCTAGTTTATCTAGTTCCTTTTGAACCTGGCCTCCCCTGGGCTTAAATTCTACCAGACCAGGCACTCCTGGTAACTTCTGGAAATGGGGCTTATCTCATTATTCCTGCTGCAGCAGCGCCACCTGGTGTCCAGCTGGGGTATTTTCTCGGGTTCTCCAGTCTGGGTGGATCCGGTCCACCCCCTGCTCCCAGGTGTCCAGGTGACATCCCAAGGTGCCGTGGAGCGGAAGTGAAGTGGGTTCCTTCTTCCCCCAGGACTGCCGGATGCAGCTGAGTGATGAGGAAGGCTGCTGCTGCTTCCCACTGGACGGACACTTGCTCTGTCACGGCTGTCACTTGCAGCGGCTCAATGCTCGACAGCCCCCCACCAACTACATCTAAGCCGTGGGCCTCACCACTGCCGTCACGACCGTGACAAACTCTTCTGGCTGGCAGGCCCTTTCAAGGCCAGTCGAGGCAGGGGACGCGCTCTGTGGGCCTGGCAGAGGAGTCCACGTAGAGAGGGCCCCAAGGGCCAGACACCCAAAGATTCCAACATTCCAAATGGATTGAAGAGGAGCTGCCCTCCGAGTGCCAGGGTGGGGGTGACCGGCCTGCTTTCCATGTCGAGGCGGGCTCTGCTCCTTTCTGAACAGTGTCTGAAGCTCATGTTTGTACATGAGGCGAGCATGTTCTGGTTCTGGGTGATGGGAGGAGAGGCCGTCCCGGGAGCTTCTCGCTCTCATGCCCCCACACGTGCCATCAGGTGTGGAAGCAGCCAGGCATTTTCTTTAGTATCCTGTCTCTGTTACCTGGTTGAAGAATTGCCAACCCCAGCCCTTATTCATGAGCTATTTCTTGGCTGCCTTCTCCAGTGGACCAGGAGAGCGCCCCATCTCTGCGGGGCGTAGGGACCTGCTCCGGCTGGGCCTGCTGCATGGATTGCCTGTTTCTCAGGGACTCTTGTGGGCCTGGGGAAGCCGAGTGGGTGTCTGTTCTTCCCGGCTGGGGAGGTGAGGAGCATGTGCGGGCGTGACACTTGCTGATTGCTGGCACCCTGTCCGGCTCCACTCCCAGATGGAGGTGCGCTGAGCCCCACGGCTGAGGGTGTGCACACGTAAGTGCATTTGTACACACACGTGCACCCTCGCTCCCTTCTCAGGTCAGTGTCACACTCAGTCCTAAGTCTTTTCAGACCCGCCACCACTCCTAAACAACAAGTTTTGGGGGTGCTGGCGGCAGAAGAACCAATTTGATTTGGTTCTAGTCGTTTTGGCTGAAACTAGTTGACCTAAAGCTAGATCTCTTAACCAACTCACAAATGTGTCGGCTTGAAGTCCAGCTCACTTAGTGACCAACTCGGGCAGTGTTTTAATGTCCACGTAGGTGTGCTCTTTCTTTGTCATGCTTCAGGTGTTTCAACAATTTCTATCTACTCATTCAAAAGCTCTTCTGAGTTATTCTCAGCAACAAACATTTTGTCAAATTCGCAGCACTTTGTAAATGAAAAGATTCTTTCTACCTTATGGATGTCTTTTACTATGTTATCTAATTTTCAACCACTTTTTTTTTTTTTTAAAGAAAAGTTTAAAGTTTCTAGCAATAAATACAGTGGGTGCAGACATGGCGTGTATCATTTTTATGTGTTGTGTACACCGATATGCTTTTACAGGTGCGATGCCTGGCTGGGGGATCCGGAAGCTGGGCTGGGCTGGGCGTGGAGGGGCAGGTAGGAGTTGACTAACGGGAGAGGTTGTCTAGACCACGGCCACAGAAACAATCCCGGGGTCCTCCGCTCCATCCCGAAGGGCTGCAGCTTTGATAACTGTTTCTGGCCAGGTGGCTCTAGGTGAACTTTTGGTTTTAGACATATTCAACAGACAAGCCTGGCAGCGAGGACTCCTACAGACCTGAATCGGTAAATCACACCTGTGGTTGTTTCTTCTCCCACCTGTGGGGGTCCTGCCAGCCCAGCCGGGAGTTAGATCTAAGAGGCCTCTGACATAGGAGGCGACAGTTCAGGAGAGGTCCTTTTGAAAGGAAGGAGAAATGTGGGGAAGCTGGATGGCCTACTTGACAGTGTAGACTGATTCTTCTAAGGCAGGACTATTAAACTCATGATCGTGAAGACCTGGGACCCGGGGACGTTGTTTGTGCAAACTGCTGCAGGCCTGCAAAGTCCAGACACGCTCGCACACCCATCCCTCTGGTTCTGTGCTTGCCTCTGAGGCTCTTGTTCTCGCTGTTTGACCGTTGGGTTTCTGATTTTGGACTTCATCAGTTCCAGGCCTGCCCGGCTCAGGCCTTTTCAGGTGTCTGCCGATCTGACCCAGCCCCAGGACTTCCCAGGGCTCTTGTCCCCGCCACAGTTCTTTCTTCCTGAGGGAAGCTGAGTGATAACCAGTGAGAAGGGCGGCCTCTCCCTTCCCCATCATCCCCCGCAGGTACCCAAGGGCAGCCTGCATCACAAGTGTGCCCTTCTTCCTGTGTGCTGGGAGATTGTTCCACTTTAACATTTCTGTTTGGTATTTACATTTCATGGGGGTGGAGGGGAGGGACAAGATCTAAGGAGTACAGCAAAAGGTGGGCCTTGGCCAGCTGGCCCCTGATTTTCCTCTACAACCACAAGTCCTGAGATTAGGGAAAAGAGAAAAGTGGAAGAAATGCGGGATCCGGTCCGTGTTCCTAGGTGAGTAGCACAGAGCAGGCGTCAGCTCGCTGCACCGGCCTGCCCCTGACAGATGCTGTCAGGAGGGAGGCTGTGGAGGCTTTTCTCTCTGCCTTACTCCTTGGAGCCTTGACTGTCTCCCCTGGCACGGCCTGGGGCTCTCCAGGCCAGGGAAATGGTAAGATTCCATTTATAGTCAGGCTGGAAACTGTCCTGTCAAGGAGGAGGAGCAGAAAGCTATTTCTAGGCACATAAAGCCAGTTGCTTGAGGTCCTTCAGCTAAGACCTATAACTAAGGGAATAAAAGGAGGGAAAGGAGAACAATAGGAGTGGAATGAAAGGACTGGATGGGGCTGGGGGGGTCAGGTGGGCTCAGGCATTTATATCTAGTTTTGTTTAAGAAGCATTACCAGAAAAAAAAGAAGAAGAAGAAAAAGAAGCATTACCTGAGGGCCTGGCACGGTAACCTAGTAGCTAAAGTCCTCATCTTGCATGTGCCAGGATCCCATATGGGTGCTGGTTTCTGTCCTAGCTACTCTACTTCCCATCCAGCTCCCTGCTTGTAGTCTGGGAAAGCAGTCGAGGACGGCTCAAAGCCTTGGGGGCCTGCATCTGCATGAGAGATCCGAAAGAAGCTCCTGGCTTCTGGCTTCGGATTGATGCAGCTCCGGCTATCGGAGTCACTTGGGGGAGAGAGAGGAAGCAGCCACACTAGCCTAGGGCAGGTGTTTGGCCCAGCATTTGAGATGCAGCCTGGGATGCAGGCATCCCTGTAGCCCACAGCTCCACTGCCAGTTCCAGCACCCTGCTCGAGGCAGCAGAGGATGGCTGCAGCAGCTGGATCCCACACCACCCACATGGGAGACCCGGCTGGATCTTTATGCTCCTGACTGCAGCCTGACCCAGGCCTGGCTGTTGCAGGGATTCAGAAATGGAACCAGGAACCAGAAGCTCTGTCTTTCAAATAGTTTACTAAAACAAACAGCATAGGGCTCGCATGGTGGTCTAGAGGCTAAAGTCCTCTCCTTGAAAGCACCAGAATTCCATATGGGTGCCAGTTCTAATCCCAGCAGCCCCACTTCCCATCCAGCTCCCTGCTTGTGGCTTGGAAAGCAGTTGAGGACAGCCCAAATCTTTGAGACCCTGCACCTGCATGGGAGACCCGGAAGAAGTTCCTGGTTTCTGGCTTCGGATCAGCACAGCACCAGCCGTTATGGACACTTGGGGAGTGAATCATCGGATGGAAGATCTTCCTCTCTGTCTCTTCTCTCTGTATATCTGACTTTGCAATAAAAATAGATTTAAAAAAAACAGCATAATTCCCTCCCTTCCACCCCAGTTCTCTCAGTCCTCTAGTTTTTCTTTTACTCGAAAGGCAGATTTATGGTGACAGATTTTCCGTCCACTGGCTAACTCCCCAAATGGCCACAATGGCTAGACCTGAGTTGACCCCAAGCAGGGAGCCACCTCCAGGTCTCTTTCATGGTTGAGGAGGTCCAAGGGCTTATCTGATTCTCTATGTCTTCCCAGACCATTGGCAGGGAGCTGTATCAGAAGTGGAGCCACTGGGACACGAACCAGTACCCATATGGGTTGCTGGTATTGTAGGTAGAGGACGAGCTCTCTATGCCACCGTGTTAGCCCCTTTCAGGCCTCTTTCACTTCTTCCTGCTTTAGGGAAACCTGAGACTGGGCTGTTGATTGCAGAGGGGCTCTTGGAGTATCTTATTCAGCGCTGGTGGTGAAGGACAAAGGTCTGGCCTGGGAAATATGGGCAGATTGTTACCAGAACACAGACAATCTCACTGTGATGATGCAACAGGCATTAGAGGCAACTTCTGCTCATTTTCACTTAGGATACTGCGGAGGGAAGCTGGCACGGCGGCATAGTAAGCTAAGCGTCTGCCTACAATGCTGGCATCCTCTATGGGCACTGGTTCCTGTCTGGGCTGTTCCACTTTTTTTTTTTTTAATTTATGTATTTGTTTATATTGGAAAGGCAGATATACTGAGAGAATGATATACAGAGAGGAAGGTCTTCTGTCCACTGGTTCACTCCCGAAGTGGCCGCAACGGCCAAAGCCAAGAGGAGCTTCTTCCGGTAAAAAGCTCCTGGCTCCTGGCTTCGAATCAGCTCAGTTCCAGCCACTGCAGTTAACTGGCAATGAATCAACGGATGGAAGTTCTTAAATTTGCCTTTCCAATAAAAAATAAATAAGTCTTAAAAAAAAAAAAGCACGTTAGGAAATGTGAAGGAAGCATACTGCTAGGGAGCCCTTGCCCTTGAGGAGGTCATGGTCTAGCCAGGGACAAACATACAGAAAATGACTTGAGGAGATTACAGCCAACATGTCAACAGGGCCAAGTAATTGATTGTTACAATAAAAGACCCAGTACTGCAGGATACAAAGGATGAGTGGGACCTGGTCAGGCTTAGAGTCTCCATCAGAAGGTGACAGTGTAAATCCTGCCCCTGATGTTTGGAGTCTATGTTTTCTAAAAATAATATTAATTGGAACCCTGGCTGAGGAAGGGAAATGTCAGCTAACAGGGCGAGTAACGAGGGAGCTGGAAAGATGGCATTTGGTAAACTTTAACACATTTTTTGATTCTGGTAAAGATTATTCACTGATACCAAAAGCACAGGTGAGTGCTGATACATGTCCTGACTTCCCTACTTCTTCTTCCTTGTTACAGATTTATTTATTTTTATTGGAAAGTCAGACTTACAGACAGAAGGAAATATAGAGACAGATCTTCCTTCTGCTTGTTCACTCCCCAAAGGACCACCACAGC